CGGGCATCTGGACCTTGACGGGGAAGTCCATGGTGGAGGCACCGGAGAGACCGCCGATACCGATACCGGGGACGTTCTGGGTGACCTCGGCGGTCTTGAAGGCAGAGGGGTCGGTACCGCCGGAGGTGCCGTCAATGTCAGCCTTGAGGGGGCCAGCACCATCCTGGTTGACCTGGTGGAAGGTCATGGAGATGGTGCCGTCGTCGGCGGTGGTGGGCATGCCCTGCTGGGCAGCCATACCGGTGGCAGCCTTGACACCAGTCTCGACGGTACCCTTGGGGGTCTTGGTGCCCTTGCCGGCCTGGCGGGCGGCGATGTTGGCGTAGCGGCGAGCGAGGTTGGCCTCGTGGATCTCACGAGCAGCCTTGGTGGCGGTTGTGTTGCCGGCGGCACCGTTCATGAAGGTTGCCATCATGGCAGCGGCATCGACGGGACCACCGCCCTGGGTGCGGCCAAGAGCGGAGGCCTTGGCAGTGCCGAGCTCGCGGTCACGGATGATGGAGGTATCGGCCTCGGAGCCGCAGCGGGGAGAGGCGCAGTCACGAGGGGTATCATCGATCACTGGAAACTGTTAGTAGGAGCTCTTTGTGTCTTTTCGATGTGGTTTGATGACTTACAAGAAAGACCGGGAAGGTTGACGCCGTTGGCACCCTGAACACCGTCGATGACACCGTGGGCAAAGACGTTGGTGGCAGCGAAAGCCGCGAGGAGGAGAGCTGAGCCGTACTTCATTTTGGCGGTTGAAAAGATTGGTGAAAGTTGAGTGAAACTAAGAATGTGTACTATTAAAGTGTAAAAGGCCGTGTAGGAGCTCCGGGCTCGTGTCGGAAAGAAAGGCAGATGAAAGAAGGCTGAAGTGAAGATGAGATGCTGATGAGAAGGGAAAAGATGAAAGTTTGACCGGACATGCGAGTGATTCTTATACAAACTTGTCGATACTCTGGATGACAGGTCTTGGACAGTCTTGGGAGACATTTGATGGGGCTTGGCAAACTACGGGCCCATCTCCCAAGGCCAGGGATTGCGGCCGTTGCGTCGTTCTCCTGAGTGAAGCATCTTGCCGCTGACTTCTCACGAAAGATCAGTTGAAGCATTGATCTGACGACTGGACGACGCAGGCTGTGTGCACCAGCAAAGACGAGCTTTCCAAAGATGCGATTGGTTTTCGATCGTTTCGAAGGGGTTTGCGGGTCCTGAGCGATGGCCAGGCTAGGGAGAAACGCCACGCGCCAGGAAGTTACATAGACCGAGTCCAGTTTCCCTCCGGCAAAGACGGCGAGAATGGATCATGCAGGAACAAGCTCTTGGTGATCTCGGACCCGATTGGTAGATCTCTGAAAATCATTGTTGTGGGGAAGCGAGGAGGCTCTCTTCAGGAGTAAGGCTAAGGAGTCTCCACGGTTGTTTGGGGCTCGGCGTCGATGAGGGCGACGATGATGTCGGACAAGGTTTAGCGGCGGGAGCGTTCCTGGGAAGGACAAGGGCCATCCCATGTCATCCTGCAAAAGATTTGAGAACGACGCTAGGATGGTGTAGATCCTCAAACGTGAGGCGTGTGAGGTCGCTGGTCCTGACCAGCGAGCTTGGGCCAGATACGCCGCTGACTGATTCTGATGGAGGTTGAGACGGGCCCAAACACCACGGAATTCGCGAGAGAAGCGTCTCCATTCGTGCTCAGGAAGCTCCGGGAGGCAAGTGGGCGCCCCTCAGGTATCCATACTCCGAGTACGGGAGAGCGTCGAGGCCATGCCACCATGCCTTGTTGGGTAAGGGCCCCGGATCTCTCGACACAACTCGACTCACCGTGGCCGGGTTCCACTCAGAGGCGGAAGGACATATGAGGTAGAAGTTGAGAGTGCGTAGGCAGAGATTCTATCCGGACACAAGGTAGATAAGACTCCGCTTTCGTTTCGGTCTTCGGAAAGAAGACGGATAGACTTAGATTGTGGTCCCTTTCTCCATAGGGAGCTGGGCCGATATTACTCATGAAAGTTAGATGGCCTGCGCCCGTGGTGGTGGGATGTTGATCAGGGGATAGTTCACGACAAACTTCGAACCGTCATCGAAGAGACGTGAACGACGTGACATTGTGACATTCCCAGCCGGCCGTTGACATGGCTTGGCAGGACCAGTAGGCGGGACGAAAGCTCGGCAATGGGATGCCGTCTCGACTCGAGTTGTGACAAGCCTTCGACGAGCCGATTGACAGCCCTTGGCGAAACTCTAGGCAAAGAGAGGCACGAACTCGGACGTCGGAGGAATTCCATGTTTCGTCCACGATGCGCACGGTTGTTTCCCCCTTTGCCCTTCCCCCTCTGCTCTCTACGCAGTTTAGCCGACCGAGGGCCCCGGCAAGGTGGACAAGGTGGACAAGGTGGACAAGGTGGTGTAGTCGAACTCGACGGTGTGAGGGACTGAGGAGGGGGATCTGCCGGTAAATCCGCTGCGCAAGAAAGCAAGCATAACCAAATGGGGATGACGTCGATCGGCGGATATGCTTGTTCTGAGGGCTGTGCAGGCCACCTAGCTCCCTTTTGCGACACAGGTGAGAAATCTGCAGCCTCGATGGGTCGCAATCTGAGTTTGTTTAGTTTTGGTGATCCCCAGACCTCGACCTGGTCATGGTGGGTTCCATCTCGCTTGTCTCATGAATTGTCATTGCTGCGCGCTCGTCGGGTTTGGAAGCCATGCTGATCTGTGAACTCCTTCGCGGCATCATCGCATTCTCGCTTTCGGTGTCTAGACGGTCTTTTTCATCGAAGATCACCAGTGTTGAGGGCCCCCATCGATCAGTGCAATTCTTCCACGATATGCGGATGAGTTTCGTCAACCAGATCGTGCTTATTGCTTCAAACCCGGCCCGGGTTTTCAGATACACAAATCTTTCCAAGCTCATAGTGGCAAGTTGGAGGACTAGATCGTTGATTTCAACGCGTCAGTCATGCTGTACGCGTACCATGAACCCCAAAGTCCGGGTCGGTGTGCTCGACGATGATCAGGGTAGCCCGGCCAAAGATCTCACAAGGATCGGGAACAAGAAGTGACCAAGCCATTCTACCATGAAATGGACATACTCTGGAAGACGACTGCCGGGAGCACGTTAAGGTTGTCTAGCTTCGTGCAACACACAAACGGAGCTACCGGGTAGAACGGGTCCATCGGTGGAGGCTAGCAGGACAAATAAGACGAAGGGGGCCTCCTTTGGCCGTTGCTAGCATCCCATTGTCACGATCCGAGGTCTTCTTGCCCGTAAGGTTGCGTGTCTTGGCTTCGTCCGAAGTGCGAAGAGCACTGCGCCTCGAAATTGCTTCAATGAGACGGAGACCAAAGTGGTGAAGGGACGAATAGCGCGGATTCTGATTCAGTTGCGACGATTTCCTGACAAAAGGTGTTGAGCCTAGTGAATACCTTGGTTGAACTAGACCCTGTTCAACTTTCGGTAAGGAACCCATTTTCTCAGTGCGGCATAGGGATCATCGTCCAGATCCCCTTGCTTTGGAGCATCATAGCAGAGGAAATATCGTCAAATGTGAGCCGTGCATGCTTTTCGTAGGCGCCTAGACGACAAACGCGTGTGGCTCGTCTCGTTGTCAACGCCTGCCCGCCAAGAGGGACGTTCTTCACAAGTTCAGACTGTCATGAAGCTAGAATCATCCCGAGATGTATGGATGTTCTTGAGCAAAGTCTCGATGCAGCCCGAACGACTGTAGACACTTGAGATTATCACCAAGCAGAAAGTATCGTGAACACGGTCGCAACCTGAACATAGCCAGAGTCTGTGTAACATCAACATCTGCAGGCGGACCACAGCAAGAAGGTGAACCACGTGCGCGAACGAAGATGATGCCGTGATGAATTTTTCAAGAGCAGCAGTGACCGAGGTTGTCGAGTTTGAGGGTTGTAGCTGCAACGATGTCTCTCGTGACGTTGGTCTGGGAAGAAGATCACATTACCGTAGAGGGCAGGAGGAGATTGCAGCCACATAGAGCTGCAGATGGCCCCAGCGAATAAGGTCAGCAAGTGTGGATGCCAGCTGCCCACCAAGAGCTTCTCCCCTGAACGGCCCCTGCCACTACCGGCGTTAGCGCCTTTGCAGCCCCCAGTGGCCCCTTCTGCGCCTGCCGTGCGCCTGCCGTGCCCTGATGACTTCCGCCACCCGCCCCTTTCGAAGCCTCCCGTTCCGAGACCGTCATTCGTCAACCTCCATGTTTCACTTAACGACTAAAGCAGGCCTCTTTTCTTCAATTCTTCTCACGGCAGCCAATCCACCCTCTCCAACAACAATATCCTCCAACAAGAGAGGTGTGGCGCATGAAGTTGGCAGCCATGGGCCACAAAAGACCAAGCATCATTGACCGCGGAGGCCTTCGAAGCGTTGAAATGCCGGCCACGTTGACTCTATCCCGTTGCCAAGAAAACGATAATCGCTCTTCTATTCCCCTCACCTTTGTTCCCAAGCGTCGATGGCAAGTTTAAATGCCCATACATGCGTTAGGTTATGGCCATGAATTCACAGAAGCTAGTCCAACTGACTGGTCGATGGATGTGGCAAAGCTGCCCGTCTGGACAGGCATCTCAAGCCTTCGAGAACCCCTCTCCGTCTTAATTCCACCTACCTGATCTCCAGGTTACGCCATGACCCAATCACACGAACACGAGCCGTCACTTCAATGGCAACAGTCCGCAGAAACATGGCTCTTGGGTGCCATCGCTCACATGTCGGACCGTTCCATTATGAGGGGTCATTCAGCTCTAGATCAAAACGCGCTTCCAAATTCGGTCTGTTGGCCTCCCAAGGTTTTCGTCCAGAGTGTTGGCAGATGTCCGATATGACTTTTTATTCGCTAACCCGTCCGAGATGTCACTTTAAGCTATCGCCAGGCCCCTGACGGCTGAAAAATTGCTGTGCCTGATTACCTTGATTATATACTAGCTGGTGGGAACCTCGAGAAGATGACGACCCTGATTCCTTCGTCTGTATCCGTCGCTGCCATATCACTATGCGCGTTGTTTTCTTCCTGCCGGCCTTCGTAGGCGTTGTCGCCGCGGCGGCTTGTAACGGCAACGACGCTCTCTGCGCGAAGAAGTATTCTGACGTGACGTTTGTCGGATCCCACAACAGTGCCTTTGTTGGCATCACTCCGGCCCACAATCAATATGTGTCGGTAACGGACCAGCTCGATCTCGGCGTACGCTTCCTACAAGCTCAGACCCAGAACAAGGACGGACAGATCCAGATGTGCCATACGGACTGCGCTCTGTTAGACTCGGGGCCCTTGTCCAAGTATCTCGAAGAGATAGACACTTGGATGGAGGCGCATCCGCGTGAAGTGGTCACCTTGCTTCTCACTAACATTGACGCAATGCCGGTCACTCAATTTGGCGACACTTTCAAGAGTACGGGGTTGGATAAGTACGTCTTCAAGCCTGGGGAGAAAGTGGCTATAGACCAGTGGCCTACACTCCAGACTTTGATTGATGACGGGACGAGACTGGTCGTTTTCATGGGTATGTCTCTAAGCATCTTTTGTAACTCATGGGCAGTGACTGAGTACGACAGACTATCACGCCGACACGAGTAAAGTCGACTACATTCTAGACGAATTCCAGTACTACTGGGAGACTCCCTTTGGGGAGACGAATGCGAATTTTCCCAACTGCAACATCGACCGGCCACAGGGTGTCGATCCCAATGGCTACATGTACCTTGTCAACCACTTCCTCGACATTGAGCTCTTCGCAGGCATTAAGATCCCCAATCAAATTGAAGCGCCAAAGACAAATTCCTTGTCGTCCATTGACAAGCAGGTCAACTTGTGCAGAGGGATGTGGGGAAGGACAGCGAATGTCGTTTTGGTAAGTCTCCCTCTTTTCGGACACCGAGTTGGTTGTGTTCGCACGGCGTCAATGTCTTGTTTGTGTAAGGCTGACTGAGAAAAGCTCGACTGGATCAATATCGGCGAGGCGATCAAGGCACAGAGCCAATACAACGCTTGAGGAATCACCGAATGTTTAATTGATAAGTCGGGAGTTGGGAACTTTCGTCAATGTCATAGAGTGAGCTAACTTGATTTTGGGAGCATGCAATTGTTGGTCTAAGGCTTTCGAGGGACGAGGAGTACTCCATGTTGGCATGTTTGTCGCTGCGCCGCCTGTCTTTTGACGAGAGAATTATTCTCGGAGAGATTGAAATAATTTCGAAGGGCACGCAGGTGTAGGAATTATTATTGGCGTAAGGTGAGGGGTGACACTCGTACCTATCAGGCAGCCTGAATACCGGGAGTGAGCAAAGCCACGCTCGGTGTCCAAATCGGGCAAAGACACTTTTCTATAGCTTCAATTCAGGGCGGGATGGGGAAGCGTGACTGCACTTCTATCCCGCCATCTCTCAGCCCCTGGGTACGCAGATCGAAGAATCCTACGGCAGCCTGCTTTGCTTTCATCAGCTTGAAGTTACTCAAATACCCCACGACTCAGAGCTGATTCTCATGAGTTGAGGTTAGACAGCGTGACTCTTGTCAGCGCCTCACTCACGGCTCGGTCGTTGCTGTCTGCTTACGGTACTCTCGATCTTTACATTGAGCATGCCCAGTTAATCGTCCAAATACATTGGCTCGTGACTCAATTGGTCGACATGGATAAAGATGGAGGATGGCTTGCCGAAGGCGCCTACGATGACTTTGTCCGGCCCCTGTGTTGCTCAGACCCTCGACTTAGACAGCGCGACCCCAAGGCTCAAATCCAACGCATCCCCTTCACAGATGACGGCGTCCGAGTCGTCAAGCTCAGCCTCGGCGACAACGGCAACTTTATCAGAACAGCACAATTTGAGGAACCAGCCGACCTAGAAACACACCTCCACTACAATACAGCATCACAGCAAGGACAGCAAGGACAGCAAAACATTTACATCCTCGAGGGCCTCGGCCCTGGATTCGCAGGTGTGTTCGGCCACCACTTCTCGCTGCATCCCTCGGTATTCGTCGAGCATGAGCGCGTGGTCGTGCACAACGTCAACTGGACGGGCGAAAGCGACGGCGCGCAGCTGCCGTCGGTGGTTCGGAGTCGGGGCCATGTGGAGATGAAGTACTACGAGGTCGTGACGTTTGATACGCGGCCGACGAGTTTTCGGTGGGTGTGCGCCGCGACGGGGCGGCATATTGGGGTGTCGAGGGAGTTTCGGTGGGACAATTCGCCCGACGACGAGTTTGATCGGTTTTTGAATGTGGGTGTCGTGAGGAGGAAGTGTGGTGTTTGGTCGAGGAGGACTGGGGGTGGTGGTTGGGATTGTGAGTTCTTGCCTGGTCGGATTCTTCAACTTGTACTGACGCTGATCATGAGTAGGCCTCGTACTTTGTGATCCTCCGGTACGAAGTGTCCGAACAGGGGATGATTACAAAATAGAGCACCCAGTCAAGACCTGGCCCTACCAGGGCGGCTACCTCGACTTCGTCCCAGAAGAATCGCAAATCAGTATCGCAAGAGAAAGAGGTAGCAACCACAGCCACCACTGTGGACCCCCGCGGACTTCTATGCTCGAAGATCTCGCCTTCTATCTCGAGACACACGCGGGGCTGGTAGATACCGCAGAGTCCGAATCCGTCGTCAACGTCTTTGTGAGCAAGATTGTGGCCTCGCACCTGCTCAAGCAGACGGAACACCTGCGGGCGACGCTCTCGGCTGTACAACGGGGTCTCACGCGCAAGCAGGACCTCGCGAAGCTGCCCATGACCAAGGTCGAGGCGCTCTGGAGCGATATGCAGGGGTGGGAGAGGCGGACGGGGGAGTATCTCGAGGACGTGGAAGGAATCATGCTGCAGCTCGGGATCCCGTTGTCGCCGACACAACCACCGGCGACAGGATCCACTGCGCCGCCCATCGGTATACCACCGCAGCCGGGGTCGGGCCCGGGACCGAAGACGGGGCCGGAGCGACCCAACGTCACCGCTTGGTCAGACAGCTCAGCAGATTTCCAGTTCCTGCACCTCCGCTTCCGGGAACTACGCCACCGGACTGAAATGCTCAACGCGGCGGTGACGGGGCTGGCGGGCATCACGGGCAACAGGCAGGCGTACAAAGAGCAGCAGCGGAGCATCCGCGAGGCCAAGAGCACCAAGGCGGTGACGCTGCTGGGATTGGTGTTCATCCCGCTGGCGTACACTGCGTCCGTGTTTTCGATTGAGAAGCCGTTTGGGCCTGGCGGGGAGCTGTTTTGGGTGTACTTTGTGACCTCGGCGCCGTTGATTTTGGTGGTCATGGTCGGGTATTATGTGTTGGATTTTGGTTACAATGATGATGGGAGGGCGTGGTCTGTGGATACATTTGCAAAGTCGATTAGAGAGAGGGTGCCTGGGTTGGAGAGGAGGGATTTGGGGAGGAGGTTGGTTGGATGATGAGGAGAAGTAGAGATGGTCGGGTGAAGACCCTCAGAGCGATGACAAAGTAATGAATATCATAACAATATAAGGCTGTGATTAAGTACTGGGAGAGGATTCAAAAAGAGTTCGCCCCCCCGGCGCCGATTTGGGGGCTACATCTCTTGGTGCTCATGCTGGGATTCGAACTCGGGTACTCTCGTATGCGCTAAGCCTGTCGTCGAGTAGGCTGGTTGGCGATTTGATTGTTGACCTCAAACCATTCCACCACCCAGTCAGTTTGACCTGACCCGCCGACCTAGACGGGCGCCTGCTGTTCTGGTGACAGGAATGGAGTTGAGGGGGGGTATATAGGCTTCCCGTGTAGCATTGGTGCCTGTGTATTCACGATTCTGAGGTAGACACCAAATAGAACTCCCATGGCCCAAGCTACTTACGTTGAGCGAACCTAATGCTTTAATCTCTCCCGTTTATATGTAGTGGATAGTTGGTCGTCTTCTCAGTCTCCGGTCACCTTACAAGTAACGGGATGTCACCGAAGCCAGCGGCATCCACTGGGACGCTTATCGATAAGAGCTCCGGTCGGTGTGAACTCCGGGTGGGTCCTGCGTCACTTTACCTTAGCAGTTCTTATCGGCGTGTTTAGTGGTGCCGCGTTTCGCGATAAGCCACCGACCCGTCTCGTCCCACAGGTAGCACACACCAACACGTCGCGTCGGCCAGACGCGTCGAAGAGCTCTTAATTGACTTTCACTCCACTAATACCACCACCACCCACCACCCTACACTCACCTCTACCAAAACACTCCTCACGCAATTTCGGTACCTGCAAGTACACAGCACTTCAAGCAACTTCACATTAGTCTTTTCATGTTTTGATACCCGGCTTTCTGCCTTTCTATAATCATAGCCACATTCACCATGGCTTCTGAGAAGGCCGCATCGCGCTCTCCCAGCGCGAGCCCAGCGCCAGAGACGATGAAGGCACGAATGGAAGCCCGTTTGGCTGCCATTGACACGAGTTCAGAGGACGACGAACCCAAGCAGACCCGAAAGAAGAGCAAGTCACCACCACGAGACACTCAAGCAAGTGACTCGGAAGAAGAAGTTGTCTTCCGCCCCAGAGGACGGCTCGCTGCCCAGCTAAAGGGCGGCGCCGAGCCTTCAGACGCAGAGGACGAGCCCGAGAGCTTTATGGACCGAATCCAAAGACGACTTGGCTCCAACAACGACGATGACGAAGAGGATGAGGACGCGACCATGGGGGATGCGGAAGAGGAAGACGACATCCCGGTAGCACCGCGGCGGCTGCAAAGGAAGCAGGATAGACAGACCACGCCGCCACCACCACAGAGCCCAGCCGCACGGTCGAGTCCTGGGCTGTTCGTTTCTCCGGACCGGCAGACACCTGTGAAACCTACTACCACGACAACAGCAGACGACGCCTCCGACTCTGACTCCCTCCCCGCAATCACAAAGAACGCCAGATTCCAGGCACTCGTCGAGCGCAAGAAACAAGAGAGACTCGCACGCGAAGCTGAGGAGGAGAGAAAGCGCGCCGAGCGAATGGAACGCGAGCCCCTCAGCAACGTCGACCTCTTTGACGACGATGAGGACGTCGGCAACGTCTCTGACATCACCGATGACGAGGGTGGCCGGAAGCTCAGCCAGGCCGTTAGGCCTACAAGGAAGGCCGGGAAGAAGGCCGTCGAGGAGATGGCTCGCGAGACCCAGCGCATGGCTCGTAACATGCAGCTTGCCCACGAGGCCAAGACGAGGAAGAAATTCACAAAGGCGGATTTCCTCCAGCGCTTCAACTTCGGTGCTCAACCCAAGTCTGATCCCAAGTTGTCGAGCTCCAGCCGCCCTACCACACCCGTCTCAGCGCACCAGACCGACGCTGAGATGAAGGACCCTGAGACGCCGCCCAGCTCCCCGCCTGTCGTCAAGGCTGCCTCCCCTACCAAGGTTCAAGAGCCCACGACTGTCGCGCAGCCCGCCATTGACCCAGACGACGATGCTGACATGCTTTCCCTCGACGACGTGTTTGAGGCATCGAGAAGACTTAACAAGGGCAAGGGAAAGGTCGTTGCACCTCCTGAAGAGACTATCGTCAAGGATGTCAAACCCAGACGTCAAGTCCGCATCAAGCTGCCCTCAGTCTCAGTAAACCATGCAGTCATTGACCTTGACGACGACGACGAGTTGGCCATCGCCAAGAACGGCAAATTTGACGCCATCTTTAATAGGGCTCCGGGGAACAAGGCAGATGCATCTCGGTCTCTACTTAATCTGCGTCGCCTCGCTCGGGTGGGATCGCCGACAAAGGAGAGGAAGAGGAAATACGAAAAGGCAACAATCACCACGGCTCAATTGCAGATGACGCTACAGCAGCGCGCCCGTCAACAAGCCAAGATCGAGCGCGAAAAGCGTCTCGAGTACCTCAAGTCGAAGGGCATCGTCGTGCAGACCGCCGAGGAGCGTGAACGCGAGATGCAAGAGGTTGAGGATATTGTCTCTCGCGCTAGGAGGGAAGCCGAAGAGATTATGGAGCGCGAGAGAGCAGCTGCCAAGCAGGAGAAGAAGGAGAAGAGGAAGAATGGCGAGCTCGACGTCTGGGAC